AAAACATAAAAAAAAAAAAGCTCAGGAGCTAACTTGAAGACATTTACATTGGCAATTGACATAACAATATGAGGACCAATAAGAATAATAATCACAATTAGCTGAAACAGATCAAAATATTAAAAATCTATTTTTTAATAATGATACTTTAAAAAGTTCCAGTCAGAGCATGCCAGGAAAACAACTTATTATTTTATTTATTTATTTATTTTTATTATTTTTTAAAATTTATTTGAGAGAGAGAGTGGGGGAGTGGGGGAGAGGGGCAGAGGGAGACTCAGAGAGAGAGAGAGAGAGAATCTTGAGCAAACTCCATGCTCAGCTCAGAGCTCAACGTGGAGCTCCATCCCACGACCCTGGGATCACGAGTCAGATGCTCGACCGACTGAGCCACCCAGGTACCTCTAAGACTTTATTTTTTTAAGTAATCTCTATAGCCATCGTGGGGCTTGGACCCACAACCCCGAGATCACGAGTTGCAGGTTCCACTACTGAGCCAGCCAGGCTCCCTTCCATTAAACTTTTAACTATGATTTACCTAAAGCAGAGGTTGGCCAATCGCACATATGGTCTCTGTCGCAATTACCCAACTCTGTCACTGTAGCATAAAGCAGCCATAAACAATATGCAGATAAATAAGCATGGCTGTCTTCCAGTAAAACTTTATTTGCATAAAACAAGCAATGAGCAGGATTTGGTCTCCAAGCACCGTTTTCAGGAGAGCTATTGATTCTCACACATTTGTTTTTTAAGCCAGATATATACTAAAGTCTTTTGTTATTTGTAAGAATTTTCATTTTATTTTCTTGGGTTTCCCAGAATTAGTCCTTCCGCTTCCAAACAATGGTAACTTTGCCTCCTCATTGCTGCATGCAATTTGCTTTCTTTTCTAGCACTTTCAGAACAATCTCCTATGCTGCTGGTTTCAGCGGACACCCTCTCCTTTTTCCTGAAGTTTTCGTGGGAATGCTTGTCTATTTCACCAATAATCATGAAACTGCCTTTTGATCTGTTATATATGTCTCATTACAGCTACCCTACTAACTCTTTTTTAACTCAGGAGTAGATGTTGGATTTTATTTTTATATTATTGATTCTGCAACTTTCCCATCATCTGGATTCTAGTGACTGCATTCCTAGTGTTATGGTCTTCTGTCCTCTATTTCCTGCCAATTACTAAGGAGATCTAGAAGTTTCATCAGATTCTGTGAGGGGAGGAGGCAAGACTGTTCCAAGGGGGTGCATAATACCTCATGTCTCCTTTTTGTGAGATTAGCAGCCATAGAGATCACCACGTAATCCGTTCATTCATTACGAGCTACGAAGCCAATATTCTAAGTCCACCATTTTTCTTTTACCATCTAGAATACTTCTAGAAAGACCATCCCCGCTGCCCTTAATCAACTATCTGGTTGCTCATTGGTAGAGTGAGTATAAGAAAGGCAAAAAAACTGCTTGATACTTTCCTTTTACTTCCATTTTTAAAATAATAAGGGAAACATTTAATTTTTTAAATATTTAATTTAAATATTTACATTAAAATTTTAAAATAATAATTTCCATTTTTAAAATAAAAAGTTGAGGGGCGCCTGGGTGGTTCAGTGGTTAAGCGTCCGACTTCAGCTCAGGTCGTGATCTCGTGGTTCATGAGT